ACATTTCCATTTACTTACTTTAATAAACAGACACATATTTCTCTACCACTACTTGAAAACAATATACCAAATATTTCCCCCATGAAAAATTACTCTCCTGGCCTCCTGCTCTGTCTGTCCTCATATTTCACCCTTTGCCCCAGTGAAATAATACTTCAGTGACCTTTACTTCCCCCTCTCCCCAGCACCCCCCAACCCTTAAGTTGTTGAGGCTATTGTCTATTTTAGTTTACACTATTAATTGAATTTCTTTTACTGTATGATTTTTTCTAGCATTTATATTACATTTTCTTAAGACCCTTCCCTGTCCACTTAGATTTATTCTCCTCCTTACCCTTCTTATCTGAATTACTTTATTGTTTGATCCTTTTCTCAGATGGGGTGGTCTTTACCCAGGCAGGAAGAGGGTATTTTGCTCCACTTACATGGTCCCCATTGCCTTTGTTTCCTCTCAGAAACCTGCAGCTGCAAGTCTCCTATCTTCTAGTGTCCTCTGTGGCAGCCAGAAGTCTGATGCCAGAAGCAAGTGCTCACCAGACACAGAATTTGGAAGCAGGTGCCTTGATCTAGAGATGGGAGCTGGGAGAGGAGGGGAAGGGACCTTGCAGTCAAAATGGTTGAGAATAGAGGGTTTGGAATATAGATTTTTTTTTTTTTTTTACAAATAGTTTATTGTCAAATTAGTTTCCACATAACACTCAGTGCTCATCCCCAAAGTGCCCTCCTCCATGCCCATCCCCCCTTCCCCCCACATCCATCAGTTCTCAGTTTTTGTCAGCATTCAAGAGTCTCTCATGGTTTGCCTCTCTCCATTTCCCCCACCATTTCCGCCCTTCTTCTCCCCCTTGTTCCTCAGTAAAGTTCCTCCTAATCCTCCTATACGTGCAAACATATGATATATGTCCTTCTCTGCCTGACTTATTTCGCTCAGCATAACACCCTCAAGGTCCATCCATGTTGCTACACATGGCCAGATTTCATTGTTTCTCATTGCCATGTAGTATTCCATGGTATAGATAAACCACATCTTCTTGATCCATGGAATATAGATGTTTAATGACCAAGGCAGGAGTAGGAGTCCTGAAAGTGCCCCCATTATCAGACGGTTTGCCGGTGTTCTACCTTTGGGTTTTGAAGAGCTCACCACAGAAGGCAGCGCCCTAGGGACACTGAAGTCATGGCCAGTACTTTTCCACTTACGTCTGTGAGCAGGATTTGTTGCAGGTTTTTTTCCCCAGAAATAGGTTTGTTTGGGTTGTTGGGGAGGGCAGTGGCACTAACAGTTTTAATTCTTCCTTTGGGTAACAGGGATTTTTTGATGTAACTCTTAAGACCATTTTTATAACAAACCTCAAGCACATGGGTCAGTATATGTCAGGTTTCTTTCACTTACCAAAATAATCCATTTAAAAGTGAAGAAATTTAGCCTTCCCTTTTCATTAAAGAAAAAAGCTGTGGTGGTTTTTTTCCCTTTGTCTTGAATAATATCTAAGGGTCAGAAAACCTTGGCAGAGACTGCATGCTACCTTCATACTGTGGGCAACCTTTTGTTCACTCTGCAGTGAGTCATTTTTCCACTAAGCTCCCCAGAGCCCTGGGGCTTTCTGAAGGAGAAAAAACCAGAGGACTTCAGGCCTCACCCTCAGCCCTCTGGGCTAAGCAGTAACCTTTTTGTTTAATTTGTTTACACTTTATAAGATTTAATTCAAACAAAAGTTTCCCTGGCTGAAACAAATTTGAAAAATACCTCTCTGAAGCCATTCAAGGTCAGGTTTCAGTTTCCCAGCAATTAATGTATTTGGTTCTATAATCCAAACTACTTGTATAGCTTCTGAATACCATAATTACACTTTAGTACTCTAAAACTGTTCCTCTATGTTAAATGCTTGTATTTTTTGTTGATGCTGAAGGATTTATTCCTCTAAGTATTTTGAAACCCCATGATCCATACTTTTCATTGACAGCATCTGTGCTCCTGTAAATGGGAATCATGAGTTCTTGGTGTTCACTAATTTCCCTCTTTTAGGGGCAGAGTGAGGTGCTGCATGGACTGTGGGCCCTGAAAAACAATCCCTTCCCTTAAACAAAAGCGCCTCTGTCTCCAATTTTTCTCTCTCCAGGCTCCTCTCCTCCGTTCCCAGTTCTCACAGATTCAGCTCCTACTCATCTGTGAGGACTACATGTCTCTTCTTCAGGCCTTCCTTTATCCCTCTCCCCAAATCAAAGCTAATTCTCCTGTTCCTTACTTCTCACAATGATAACTATTTAGTGATATGTCAGTACTACTGAGTGAACGAATGAATGAATCACTAATGCCTCCTTCACTAAAAAGTATCTTAGGTCATCAATCAACCATATATTAACCCCTGCGATAAACAAATAATTGTTCATGCTGAGCACTATGGGGATATGACCAGCTAGTCTAACTTCCAAGAGCTTCCTACCTAATTGGGAAAATGAGATAGAAACATCGAATAGACAACCAACTATTAGTGGCAGATAAGAGACTAGTTTCCTGGTTCCTGATTTATTAAATGAAAAGTAAAGCAGTTGGTTGGATCTGGAGGTGCTTTTGGAATTAGTAGAAAGAAGAGAGAGGAATTTCAATGCTGTTTTTTGATGGTAAAGAGGGAGGGAGGGCAGGCAATCTCAGCAGGATAGGAATAGGGTTACTATGATTGCAGAGAGACATAGAGGAGCTTTCTTCAGCCATTTGACAAATACTTATTGGGCATTTACTCTATGGTAATTTACTCCTTTCAAGCCTGAGGATACAGTGGTGAGTTGAATGTAATGTTCATTACCTCATGATGATGTTCTAGTGGAGAAAGCAAATATAAAGGTGACAAGTATCCATGTCAGGTAGTAAAGAGAACAATGGAGAAATGAAACAGGGTGGTAGAAGAGATTGCCAGAGGTGCTACTGCAGACTGTGATAAGGAAAGACCTCAGACCCAAACAAGAAAAGTGAATAACACGCACCAAGATCTTGGGACAGGAAAGAATTCCACACACTCAAGAAGCAGGGAAAGGCTGATGTTCCAGGGATTACAAACATGGGAGAAAGGGGGTGAAGACGCAATTGGAGAGGTGAGCATATCCAGTCCGGTCCCATATGGGGTTTTGCTAAGTGCTATGGGAGGTCATAACCATCTTCAGAAGGTTTTGAGTGAGTAGTGCCATGTTTAAGCAGAAGAAGGACGACGAGAGGAGTAGTTTGGCTGGAGCATGAGACTTTTTTGAAGAGCAAAAGATTCTGAGGTCAGAAACAAAGACAGACTATGGAGTGCTTTGCACCGTGGGCTAAGGAGTTAGGACCTATGTTCCAGGCCTCAGACAGCTACTGAGGGTATTTTTAACAGGAGTGACATGATCAAAAAGACTGACCTGAAGGTCATACCTATTTCTCAGTATGATCTCCAACATCTCTTCTCATGACCCTGTTGTGGGTTTATTCAGCAGCTTTTTAACATGTGAAACACCTGCATAAACACCCAAACACGTGTGGAGACACTCATCTCCACATGTATAGGAAGACAGGTATCCCTGGAACCTTGGCTTTAGAATTGTAAAGAGGGGTGCCTGGGGGGCTCAGTCAGTTAAGCATCCGATTTCAGCTCAGGTCATGATCTAATGGTTTATGGGGTTTGAGCTCTGCAATTAGGCTCCTAGCTGACAGTAGAGCCGGAGCCTACTTCTGATTCTGTGTCTTTCTCTCTGCCCCACTCCCACTTGTGCTTGCTTGCTGTCTCTCTCTCTCTCTCTTTCTTTCTCTTTCTCTCTCTCAAAAATAAATAAATAAACTTTAAAAAAAATAATAAGAACACTTATAAAGAAACTTGGAAACTGCCAACTTCATTTGATTAGGAGTGCTTCAGGACTAACTCTGCGATGGGCAGGATCCTGAAGCCACATGTACACTGAGTGGGAAAGAGGATCTTCCTCAGTTAGCCAAGTCAGGAGGATACTAGGTCTTTGACATCTCTGGCCTGACACACTGTTGCAAAGTGAGGTCATCCTAAGACAAAGAGTTGACTCTAACAATGGTGTCCCAAGCCTCCACGCCCTTGTGAAGGAAGCTCTGGGGAGTAGAGAGGTCTTGCCTCCTCTCCTGAAACTAGTCCACTTGAGCAGCTTCCTGCTTTACCCATATGTGAGACCAAGTTCTGGGCATTACCTTAGCTGAAAGAACAAGAACTGCTTGATATTATCCCCTAATATCTAACTGGAGATGTTCAGAAAGATCAAAAATGATATTTTTCTTTTTATTAAAGAATCTGTCTATACACTTAAGGTTTTTTAAGCCAGGAGATCTTGGTTTTGGTTTGTGCTTTGCCACTTAACTTTCTACATGACCCTGAGCTACTGATCTCACATATCTGGATCTCACTTTATTGCCTTGACTATGTCATTCTTTTCCAGCAGAGCCATCCTGTGGGTAGGGAGGAAGTAGGGCGAGTATAGAGGAGCTGGGTGGCTGTGGCACCTCACACCACCACTTTAGGACAGAGTGGACTTACTCATATGATTTCCTATGAAGACATTTCTGAGCTAGAATAATAAAAATGTTGGAAAAGTGCGAACTCTCAGAAAGTCCACTTCTAGCTCTCTTTGAGAAGAATGAACTCTGCCCAGAATATATTCCCGGGACGGAGACCATGTGCAGAGTAGGTTTAAGTTTAGATGGTTGTTTATGGTCTTCACATTACAGCCCTCTAACTCACAAGAAATCAGAAAGAGGGGTGGGTTGTGCATGGAGTGAGCTTTGAAGTCGGGATTGGTGGGAAGAAGAATAAGATAGGCTGGGCCACACAGGTGCCCTAGACTTAAAAGGCCACAAAGCAAGGGAGTCTCCACCCCCTGCCCTGCTCTCTGGGGCTCTGAGGCACCGGCTCCTGCACAGGGAGGGATTTCTATTGCTTGGTGCTACATTTTCATTTCTCTGGTACTAAAGAACATCTGCATCTAGAGTTGTAAGGTGATACTTATTTACAGGTGCAATGTCTTGCCCATCGAAATCGGACGACTTGGTTTTCTTTGTGAATGGGAGGAAGGTAAGTGTTGGGTGATATTACTGTGGCTTGCAGAGACAGCAGGAAACTACTGGCTTGAGGGAACTTTTGTCCAGTCAGGGACAAGAAGTGAGGGATAAAGAACCCATACTAATTTGATTTCTTCCCCACTCAGGCAAGACTCGGCTTCTGAGAATATGGGGAGGTGGTAAAGCATTAGGGTTAATCACATATACCTTGGCATCAAGCAGCCTGATTCCAATCCAGCTCTCCCATTTACTATATAACTTTATGCAAGTTACTTCACCTCCCTGAGCCTCAGACTAGCCATCTCTAGAATCTACTTCCTAAAAAGAATAAAAGAGAAATGCTCCTTTCATTGATTAGGAACCCCCTTTTTTCTTATAAAGCACTTAGTACAGGGCCTGATATATGGGAAGCACCATATCTAGTAACATATCTTAATCCTCAAACTCGGGAGGACCAGAAATAGAGCTTTCTTTATTTTTATCAATTTAATTTTTCTGTTGAGACTCCATTAATCAGAATTAGTTGAATGTAATTATAGTCAATTTTCAAGCCATCCCCTCTTTCCCAGGTTGCAACTAAGTTCTAGGGGGAACCTATATAATAAGAAGAAGGGCTCCTCCAGTGTCACTTTCCTCTAGTGTCCCCTCTTCAGTTCTGGCTGACCCTCAGTGCCCTCTGCCAGGCCCACTCTGCTTATGACCTTCGGTCTCTCCCTCAAAGGAACCATTATGTAGTTCCCAAGACATGTGGCTTTTTTGGGGTCTTGCTACCTAGTGTAAGACCCCTCAGCCCCCCAATCCCACAAACCTAACTGGGATTTGGCCATGTCCACCATCCCACCCCAAAAAAGGAAACAAAACAGAGAGCATCCAAGTTCTCATCATGTCCCTTATAACTCTGTCTCCTGTATCCAGTCTCCACAGCCAGTAGCCACCAAACATTCTTCCAAACCTGCTTTCATGAGCTGAGTCCTAACTCACTTGTTCCACTGGCCTAGGCTTTGGAGGCTCCTTCCCCTATTTTCTGTTCCAAACCCCTTCTGAGTCACCAGCCCAGAGTTATTCTTTGGGATCTACAGAAATTCATGTTTTACTTCTGGGGAGAAAGGAAGTACCTAACATGAAGAGCCCACTGTTTCTTCCTTTCCTCTGGTACAACAGAATGGCTGAAGGTGTGTGCAGGAAACTCAAAGTAAAGCCAAAGAAAATATTACAAAATGAGCAAGTGGGAAAGAAGCATCAGAGAAGATCCCTCCAGGCTTCTGAGTGATAATCCCCCACTTGTCAAGGAAAGGGGGGGAAGAATTCTAGTGTTCCACCAGAGACACCCTGGGTCCTGAGTTGAGACAAAAGTCTCATCATCAGCTACTCTGCCATGAGGGGACTGGAACAATCAGGGATCCCTTGAGGATGACAAGAATTCTCTCCACTTCCCCTTTCTGCTACCGACTCGAGATCCCTCAGGTTATCTGAGGGACACTGGTGGTGTCTCAGAGATGCCAGAATAGAAATCCTTCCTATCCAGACTTCTTCCCTCTAGGACTCTTCATTATACACACATGCACACACAGAGCATCCAAGTCTCTCCCCAATTTGAAATATTCCAAGAGTACAAAAGACTGAGTTGGAAGATTCCACAAGAACAGATAGTAGAGCAAACATGAAAAATACAGCTCCCAGAGGTGGCTTACCCAGTGGTGGCCCCCCACTCTAATCACTTAAAAAAGCATTGTTTTCCTACTTGCTTGGTGAGTCTCCAGCTCTGTAATGTATGTGAAATTTGTCTTTGGAGCAAGAAAAAAAGAGGCAAGTGAAAATATTGTACTTCAGTCCCTAAATCATTAGCAGGTCACAGCAGACATTCCACTGGGTCATCCATTTGGTCCCCATAATAATCTTTTTTCTGTTTCCAATGCAGGTAGTAGAGAGGAATGCAGACCCAGAAGTCACTCTGCTGACCTTCCTACGAAAGAACTGGACCCTTTTAATCAAAGTCTGGGAAGTGTCTATGTCTGCCTTAAAACTTTAGGCTGCTGTGATTGTGAACACTAATCTAACCTCTCCATCCCCAGTCAGCCCCACTGGCCCCTGCTCTCTCTTTGCTTTTGGCAATGGTTTTAAGGATATTAAGTTAATTGGACTATTTGGAGAGGATGAAGTTTCCCCAGAGCTTCTTATATCTTGATTTAATAGCAATGAAATGGAAGCTAAGCTCTTTACTTCAGCACTAATTATTCCTTTAAGGGCTTTCCAATTCCCAGAAGGGTGGTTATATAATAGAGGTTTGTGTTGCATGTACCCTGCCCTGGAGGGAAATCAAATTCTCCAGATTCAGGAAGAGCTTGTATCATGGGAAAGGATTGCCTTTCCCTATATATATTCTCTTATGACAGATTTTCCCTATCATTTTATATTCTTAAATTTAGATATTCATAATGACAACCACTTTCATTGGTAGGTCTAATATATCTCTCGGAGAACCCAAACGGTAAATAAAGAGATGGCAGAAATTATAAATTGATGAAGTCAACCCATGAACAAGTTTTGTTTAAAAGCCTACATGGTTTTTAATTAGTTGTCAATGTTTGAAAATGAGGAAATCTCATATTTTAGAAAATCAACATTTTTCAGCTTCTCACAAAAAATGAGAAAACAGTCATTCATGCATGGCAGCAGTCTTGCTGAATGGAGTAGGGACTGTCCCAAGTACCCCATCTAGAAAGGGGCACAAGCTCTCCAGTTATACCCAGCCCACTCCACTCATTTACATGTCCTCTCTGATAAACATCTGAGGTTATGACTTAATTTAGATAAACAAGTCCTATGGCTTAAAAAAAAAAAAAGAAGAAGAAGATTCTGAAATATTCTTAGTCAGTCTAGTGAATTATATCCAATCTCAAAATCTGGGTGGAAAGGGACCACAATTAAGAAGGATGACTAAGGAGAGAGGTGAGGCTGAGCCTGGATTTGGGCTTGGACTCAGAACAAGGGAGAGCAGAGGGATACTCCAAGTTGGATCTGAAGGTAAGGAAGGGAGTTTTCTCCAAAGGCTCACTCACTCATTTTCAAATGCAATACAAATGGACAAAACTAGCAATTCATCAAACTGCTAAAAATAAGACCTTCTCTTCCAGTTACATGATTGGAATCCAGAATACCTATAATGAAATAGGACTTTTCAAAGAGTTTTCACAGCCATCATCCTACAAGATGCTTATGATAAGCCTATGAGGATAAAGTAATGATTACTTTTCCCTCTTTGCAAGTAAGAAAACGGGCAGGGAAAGGTTAATATGTTCAGTATCACACAGCTAATAAGATCTAGAGTGGCATTTACTGAGACCTGGAGGCAGGCAAATGACTTCTCAGACCTGTTCTTCACCCCCAAAACACCTTCCTCACTAGTGACACCTGAGGGAGGCAGCTATGATGGGGTAACATATCCATGTGGCATCTTTTCCTTGACCACCTTCTAGTACGCCTCACAGGAACCAAGTACGCCTGTGGAAGAGGAGGCTGTGGTGCCTGCACTGTGATGGTGTCTAAGCATGACCCAGTGTCCGCGAAGATAAGGTATCTTACCCAGAAGCCCAGAGGCCAGAAGGACTCTTTGTTTCTTTGCCAGGCCTTGTATTCTCATCCCAGAGTGGAGGATCTGTAAGGTCTCATGATTCTAACCTTCTGTAAATCTTCAACCCCTCTGAAAATCTGATAAAAGCTCTGAGCCTCTACTCAGAAGCTACATAAACTAATTATATTTTGCATAGTTTCAGGGAGATTACAGACCTCCTAAGGCCCATCTGTGCATCCCAGGTTAAGAAACCCCAATTTAGGCAAGTCATTCATTTTACAGATGAAGAAACTGAGGCTTAAAGAGATGAAATGACTTGTTCAAGGTCAGACAAGATTGTAGAACAAGGACTTGAACCCACGTTTTCTGGCTCTGAAAATAATGCCTTTTCTACTGCTGGGCTGGACCAACCCTGCCAAGCAGGGACCTGGGTCACAATTGCATCCATTAATTAAGGTCTGGATTCCAGGATTTGGGCTGCTTCCAGATCCACTAGTCCAAGAAATCAATAAATGGTTTCAGAACACACACCATTCCTCTGTTGAACAACATTATCCAAAGACTTTTCAATTAACAAGCAAAAAAACAAAATCTCAAATATAGACATAAAAGACATAAGTATGCCTTTAACCTGTTATGGGGTCAGTATCTTAATGAATACTAGTTGAGGTCCAATTATACTCCTGGTGACATGAGTCCACTCCCATTGAGTCCAGAGCCAAATAGGTCTGTTCTGGGCTTAGAAAATATTCTTGAGGGCAAACTATGAGAGACTCTTGAATGCTGACAAAAACTGAGGACTGATGGATGTGGGGGGGAGGGGGGATGGGCATGGAGGAGGACACTTGTGGGGATGAGCACTGAGGGTTATGTGGAAACTAATTTGACAATAAACTATTTGTAAAAAAATTTAAAAAATAAAAAATAAAAAAAAAAAGAAAATATTTTTGAGGGGCACCTAGGTGGTTCAGTCAGTTGACTGTCTGACTCTTGATTTTGGCTCAGGTCATGATCTCATGGTTATGGTATCAAGCCCCAAGTCAGGCTACTTGATTAACATGGAACCTGCTTCAGATTTTCTTTCCCTCTCTCTCTCTGTTCTTCCCTATCTCCCTCCCTCTCCCTCTCTCTCTCTCCTTCCTTCTCTCCCTCCTTCCCCCTCTCTCAAAATAAATAAGTAAACATTAAAAAGTTTTTTAAAGTTTTTCTGAAGTTCAGAATGCCTAGGTTCCCTCTAAGAATTCCCAATTCTTAAAGATAGTGCAGAGTCAGCAGAGAGGATTCTAAACTCTTTCTCCCTGTCTCTGCTCCAGTTCCCCATCCCCTGAGGCTGAATGATAGGCTTGGTTTGTTGTTGTTGTTTACTTCCCTTTTTGCTTCCCAAGAGGAAAGAACTGTGTTACACTCCTTGATTTTCCTTTTATTCCTCACATGAAGACATTTCTCCATGACTGCATGCCTGGTGCCCATCTGCTCTCTGTATGGGGCTGCTGTCACCACTGTGGAAGGTATTGGAAGCATCAACACCAGACTTCATCCTGTGCAGGTAAGAACACATTGTAATTTTCTCAATCTTAACCTTTTCTTTTTAACCAACACTGTGTTGACTGTACTGCCTAGAGCTTCTAGGTTGTGATCAAGTAAGTAGAAGCTTTGAATGCATATTGATCAAGATAATAACATCTAAGTGATTTAAAGAAAGCTGGAAATCCATCCACATTTTATTAGACAATCATCTTTTTCTTACTTTTTCCACTTGAGCGATAAGCAGGATTATCAAAACATTGATTAATGCCTATATGACTATAGGCTTGAATAAATATTGTACAAAGGATATTATTCATAGACTAAAATGTCAGAAGCAAACAAGATAAAACTCAGGATTATTCCCTGTGGCATAGGAGGTCTTAGGAGTAAAATTAGAACCAAGGCTGACTGTACCAGAGCATAAGTACAATCATTTTTTTTAAGTTTATTTCTTTATCTTGAGAGAGAGTGAGAGCACATAGGGGAGGGGCAGAGAGAAAGAGAGAATACCAAGCAGGCTTATGTCTCAATCCTGACAGGGGCTCTATCCCACGAACCATGAGATCATGACCTGAGCTAAAATCAAGAGTCAAATACTGGGGCGCCTGGGTGGCTCAGTTGGTTGAGCGTCTGACTTCAGTTCAGTTCATGATCTCACCGTTCATAGGTTCAAGCCCCACGTCAGGCTCTGTGCTAACAGCTAGCTCAGAGCCTGGAGCCTGCTTCAGATTCTGTATTTCCCTCTCTCTCTGACCCTCCCCCACTCATGCTGTCTCTCTCTCTCTCTCAGAAATAAATAAAACGTTAAAAAATAAAAGAGTCAGATACTTAACTGACTGAGCCAGGTGCCCCTCTCCAAATCTTAACTCAAAGCTGGGACACAGAGGCTGAGTTTAAGAGAACTGTCACATGCTTTGGCAGAAAACACATAGACTCCTCTGTCATTGTCACAGAGAATGGAGACAGAGAATTGGAAAATCATAAGTCCATGGGGCACCTGGGTGGCTCAGTCAGTTGAGCATCCGACTTCGGCTCAGGTCACGATCTCATGGTTCGTGAGTTCGAGCCCCGTGTCAGGTTCTGTGCTGACTGCCAGCTCAGAGCCTGGAGACTGCTTCAGATTCTGTGTCTCCCTCTCTCTCTGACCCTCCCCTGCTCATGCTGTCTCTCTCAGAAAAAAATAAAAACATTTAAAAAGAAAGAAAGAAAAGAAAGAAAGAAAGAAAGAGAAAGAAAGAAGGAAAGAAGGAAAGAGGAAGGAAGGAAGGAAGGAAGGAAGGAAGGAAGGAAGGAAGGAAGGAAGGAAGGAAGGAAGGAAAGAAAATCACAGGTCCAGATCCACTAATACTACAAGTCTTTCCAGGCAGGAGGAGCCCAGAGGGTCTCTGGGTTTCAAAACATGAGAATCAATTCTAGGAAAGGTCAGCAAAGGCAAAGGACCCAGCAGAATTTATTAGAATGTCTAGGGATATCAGAGAAGATTACTCTCTGAAATCTAGAGCAGGGCTTCCCAAACCTTAATGTGTTAAGAATCATCTGGGAACTTGTTAAAAATACAGATTCTGAGTCAGGAGATTTGGAGCAGAGGCCTGAGATTTTGCACCTCCTGCAAGCTCCCAGGTGGTACGAACACCATTGGTCCATAGACTACACTTTAAATAGCAGGGATCTAGGACACAGACCAAAATCTTGGATCTTTGAAAGTAGAACTCCTTTTGAGCCAACACAAAAGAATTTAAAGAAGAAAGTAAAGTGAGGCCAACAGTAAATAGTCTCCAACTTAATCAAAAAGAGGCAGCTCCATGGTCAGAATTAAGCTGGGCAAGATGTAGAGGTATTCAAGAAAATTGTTTTTGAAACTTAAACATATTTTCCTTATAATTACTGATTTCTAGAGAATTCTCACTCTGGGAATAGAAGCTCTACATGGCTAATTCCCAATTAGAAGTATCTGAGCATCTGAGATTGAGAGATGATTGTAATGATAGAATATGGCTTATGAGTCACTTCCACCAGAGAAGCATAAGAACGGGGATGCTGGCCACCTCTGGGCAAGGGGAGGGGTGCACTGCTCAGGGACTGGGTTCCTCTGTGATAAGGGAGGTGCTAGATGTGGACCTCAGTGAGGGGTGCTGGCAGCAGAAAGTCCTGTGACCATGCATGTGTCCTTCCAGGAGAGGATCGCCAAGAGTCACGGCACCCAGTGTGGGTTCTGCACCCCTGGGATGGTGATGTCCATGTACACACTGCTTAGGAACCACCTGCAGCCTTCAGAAGAGCAGCTCATGGAAGCCCTGGGAGGTAAGTCTGACATGGGAGAAACCCACCACCTGCCTGAGGCCAGGTGGGAAGCATGCTCCAGGCTGCTCCAGCCCTCTCACAAGGTCATCCCAACTCTGCTCAGGGGCCACCTGGTTGTTTCTAAAGTAGCTACAGCCCACCCAGGAGCAGGGAAGAATGGCAGAGCACTTGCTAGAGAGGCCTGCATGAAACACACTGTGTGTGGATCACACACCCATCTTGACACCTCAGTTCTCTATCCAGTGACTTATTTGTCTGCCTTAATGAGGACTGTCAAAACAAAGTACTGCCAACTAGGTGCATTAAAACAGGAATTTATTCTTTCACAGTTTTAGAGGCTACAAGTCTGAAACCAAGGTGTCAGCAGGATCGTGCTCCCTCTGAAGTCTCTAGAGGAGGATACTTCCTTGCCTCTTCTTTGCTTCTGGTGTTTGACAGCCATCCTGGTTTTTCTTGACTTACAGATGCATCAGTCCAGTCTCTGCCTGCCTTCTCATGGCCTTCTCCCCCATGTGTCTGTGTCCAAATTTTCTTTTATAAGGACCCCCATCACTTAAGATTAGGGCCCATCCTAATCCAGTATGACCTCAGTTTAACTTGAGTATATCTGCAGAGATCCTTTTTCCAAATAAGGTCACATTCACAAGTTCCAGATGTTAGAACCTCAACATATCTCTTTTGGAGGACACATTTCAACCCATAACAGAGCCTTTCACATATTGAAAGGATGGTTTAGAATTTGCAAATGCTTTAAGTTACTAAAGAAGTGTACATATTCATATCCCTTTGCAGGACCAATAAGTATCATTTTCAGGTCTCAACAGTCCCCAAACAAGTCATCTGTTAAATATATAGATTCTTAGATTGAGACCTGAAGGGGAAGCAAAGACACACTCCCTAATCTGCAATTTGCTGGCAGTTGCTTCCTTTACTCTCTTTGTTCCATTATAGAAAAGCATACAGTACCTTAGAAATGGACTATATTTCTTGTTTTAGGATCCCCTGTATCTTACACAGATACATGTTGAATGAATGAATAAACCAAATAGATAGATGCAAGTGAGCTCACCAGACAGATGATCTTCTTTAGGGCAGAGAATAAAACTAGAATTGAGGTGGTGGGAAGGTTCATATTCTAAGAAGAGAAAAAGCATTGAATAGTCTGGCAGATATCTAAACATTCTCAAAAAAAAAAAAAAAAAAAAACCCGGTCAGTTTTAACTTTCAAATAAAACCAGTTAAAATAAAGCCTAATGATAAGCATGCTTCTTCTCTGATTAGGTAATCTATGCCGCTGTACTGGGTATCGGCCAATTCTCACAAGTGGAAGGACCTTCTGTGTGGTGAGTAGGTGATATCCTACAGAGCATGAATGTCAGTGACAGCTGGTCAAGTCTGGGAATACAGGTGTTGAATTGTTTAGATCATCTAAACAGACTATAAGGGAGACCATGTGAGTTTGTTCCAACTGACTCAAGAATTTTAGCTATTTGTTGAGGATAGGGTGAAAGTTACACCACCTTAGATGTTCCACAACCCACCACAGAAAGAAGTCAGATGATCTAACCAGGCATCTAGATACCTTCCATGAATAGTTCAGCAAGGCATCAGGACAGGACATGTAGGAAGGCTCCAGCAAACCCAAAGAGATAAGCAAAGGTATGAAATTTGCTTTGGGGAGGCAAGTTTAGTTCCAAGAGTCCAGACTGGCTAAGAAAGTGTGAGCAAGTAAAGACGCCAAGTATGTAGAGTAGAATCCAAAATTCACCTCAAGTACAAGAGCACAGGGAGTTTCCTTTACAAAAGATACTTCACTGAGTATCAAGATCAAGTATGAAATCATGGGCAAAGCATGTAGCATGGTCATGGGGGCACTTCGCTGCTACTGTTATTGAGGATGCTGTTGAGGCAAGATGGAATTGGGCCATACTGCCCTTACACCCAAGCAAGAGGGACTCCATATTTGGGAGGGCCCCTTGCCGGTCCTCCTCCAGCCATTCTCAGGAAGCAATGGAGCCAAGGTGACTTGGCTTTTTCTAGACCATGCTCCACACATGGTCTCAACCCCATTCCTAGGCCTGACACTAGACTCTACCTGAGCCCATCTTCCTAGGGAAGATCATAACAGCCAGCACATGCACCCCCTAGGTCAAATGGTAGCCAACAACTGGCTCTTTCTGGAGGATGTGAACAGAGCTGGAGCTTTCAGGCCAGGATGCTCACATGGGTGTTTGAGGTCCCTCAGTACAGAAGGGTGGGAAGAGAAGGGCAGCAGGCCAAGACCGGAGTGTCCATTTATACTCTTGCCCTAACTCTACAAATAGTAGGAGTGGGTTTGGAAGTGGACCAGCAGGCATGTCCCTCTTCCCAGAGCCAGGCAGTTCCCCAGTATGTGCATGTCCCAGACTTCTAATGCCACATGGGGGAGCCAAAGCTGATGAGCTGAGAAGTAAAATGAATTGCTTGTAAACCCATCAAATTGTTGTTGTAAGTGAAGCACTTGTGAGATGCAAATAAAGGAAATTAAAGGAAACTGCTCTCCCTCTGGAGTATAGATGTTATCCACCTTCCCCAGCATAGACTCTAGAGATGAAGGAAAGAAACCGGGCCCCAGTGGGAATACCCAAGACTCCTCTCTATTGGGCCAAGAGAAGTCCACCTATTTCTGTTGTAGTTGACTTGTGGCCCATCGTGGACACTCTCAGAGCTCTGACTAAGAGAGGAAGCTCTGGTCACTGGGCCTGGCTGGTTTTGCTTCTTGGACAGAGTTAGGAAGATGGCACCCTGAGGCATTTGGGTAGAGAACTGGGGTATCTGAAAGAAAGTATTTTCCTAGATACTGAAAAATTATTTAAGGAAGAACACACAAGAGGTAAGTTTGGAGGAAATGGGAAATGAGGGACCAGTGAATGAAAACCTGCTTTAAAAGTCAGTGATTGTCCATTCATTCTCAGTCAGTCCTATGTAGATCCCAAGAGCTGGAAAAGCTGGTTCCAAAATAGTGGGTTTTTTTCATCTTTATTTTTTCTTTTTCTTTTGTTTTAAAGGTCCTTATATAAATGATAACACTCGGTATCATTGAATCGTATACATACTAGAGAATTGGTAAATCATCATTGCCCTAAAAGGTTTAATATCAATTCTACTTCTATGAATTCACCTATAAAAAAATTCAAAGATGTATGTAGAGCTGTCCACATAATGAACAGAATGTTGTTCACAGTTATACAATGTAGTAAAAAACCTAAGTATATAACAATAGCAAAGATTATGAATATATTAAGAATAGCCAGAAGATGGACTATTATGTGATCAGCAAAATTATATTTTAAAAACATTTTAATGATATGGCAAAAAATTCACAAAATAAATAAATATATAAACATATAAATGGGGGCACCTGGGTGGCTTAGTCAGTTGGGCATTGGATTCTTGATTTCAGCTCAGGTCATGATCTCAGGGTTGCAGTATCAAGCCCCGAGTTGGGCTCTGCACTGAACATAGAGCCTGCTTAAGATTCTCTTTCTCCCTCCCTCTGGTCCTCACCCCCCTCAAATTAAAAATAATAATAATAAAATAAATATAAAATAAAATAATAATAGTAAATAAAAAGTTTTTCATCTCAAGGCATTTCACTGTCCTAGGAGTCAACTGGTTGTCAAAAGAAAGGAACAGGAAAATGCTGCTTGGATCTGGGTGGAAATGATTCTTCCTCACTCAGCAGGGAAAGTGACGTAAGTCTCTTGTCTGTTGTGTCTTCTCTCTGGGAATATTGCTCAATGCTGGCCCAGTGTTACTGTGCCTGTGAGTTTTTATGATCATGCTCTGCATTACTTTCAAATCTCCAAAGCACATGCACTAATGAGGCACTTTTCATTTGGGAGACCAGTAACAGTGTGATTGAAAGCCAGGCTCTGATTTTGCCCTTCAGTCTCTGGAAGGATCAAGCAATAAAACATAAACCTACTCAGACAAAAACAAAAACTATGATGGGTCCCATCCTTGTGTGGAAAAATGTTCCTGTGGCTGGCCTCACTCAGGCAGAGCTGTCCTGTATCTCTGTGTCCCCTCCTTTGTAGAGAGAGGGCACTGAAACCTCAGCAGGGGAACCTGTCCAGAGACACATGGTGAGTTCATGATTAGCACAGCTGGGAAGTCTAGCCTGAAACACTGCAGTCTCTGATTTTGCTCTCTGAGAGATGCTGTTCCAGAAGATCCACTGCCACATTCTTAAAAGAATTACTTACAGAAGTTGGAATAAGGATAAAATAGAGTCTGCTTCCTGTAGACAAGGAAATATGAGAGAACAGAGTTATCCTTAGACGAAACTGATCCCATCTTCCCCTGCTGTATCTATTTCTATCCTGTACACCTACCTGGTTCCCATTATTGACCTCCCACTGCCACCTCATTTTGGTCTGAAGAAGGTGTGCAATGGAATAGAGGCTTGTTGCCAAAGAACCCTGGCTGCACCCCCTGCAACCACTTCACAGAGGACCAGGGCACCTCAGAGGGGTGGATACTTCTTTTTTTTTTTACAAATAGTTTATTGTCAAATTAGTTTCCACATAACACCCAGTGCTCATCCCCACAAGTGTCCTCCTCCATGCCCATCCCTCCTCCCCCCCACATCCATCAGTCCTCAGTTTTTGTCAGCATTCAAGAGTCTCTCATGGTTTGCCCCCCCCTCCCCCCCTGTTTCCTCCCTTCTTCTCCTCCACAGTCCTCCGTCAAGTTCCTCCTAATCCTCCTATACGTGCAAACATATGATATTTGTCCTTCTCTGTCTGACTTATTTCGCTCAGCATAACACCCTCAAGGTCCATCCATGTTGCTACACATGGCCAGATTTCATTCTTTCTCATTGCCATGTAGTATTCCATGGTATAGATAAACCACATCTTCTTGATCCATTCATCTGTTGATGGACACTTAGGCTCTTTCCATGTTTTAGCTATTGTGGAGAGTGCTGCTATGAACATTGGGGTACATGTGCTCCTATGCCTCAGCATTTCTGTATCCCTTGGGTAAATTCCTAGCAGTGCTATTGCTGGGTCATAAGGGAGTTCTATTGTTAGTTTCCTGAGGAACCTCCACACTGTTTTCCAGAGGGGCTGTACCAGTTTACATTCCCACCAACAGTGTAGGAGGGTGCCCGTTTCTCCACATCCTCGCCAGCATCTAGAGTTCTCTGATTTGCTCATTTTAGCCACTCTGACTGGCGTGAGGTGGTATCTCAGTGTGGTTTTGATTTGTATTTCCCTGATGAGGAGGGATGCTGAGCATCGTTTCATGTGTCTGTTGGCCATCTGGATGTCCTCTTTGGAGAAGTGTCTGTTCATGTCTTCTGCCCATTTCTTCACTGGGTTGTTTGTTTTTCGGGCGTGTAGTTTGGTGAGTTCCTTATAGATTCTGGATATTAACCCTTTATCTGATATGTCATTTGCAACTATCTTTTCCCATTCCGTTGGTTGCCTATTAATTTTCTGGGTTGTTTCCTTGGCTGTGCAGAAGCTTTTAATCTTGATGAGGTCCCAACAGTTTATTTTTGCTCTTGATTCCCTTGCTTTTGGGGATGTGTCAAGTAAGAAGTTGCTGCGGTGGAGGTCAAGGAGGTTGTTTCCTGCTTTCTCCTCTAGGGTGTTGATAGTTTCCTGTCTCACGTTCAGGTCCTTTATCCATTTTGAGTTGATTTTTGTGCATGGTGTGAGAAAATGATCTAGTTTCATTCTTCTGCATGTTGCTGTCCAGTTCTCCCAACACCATCTGTTAAAAAGGCTGTCTTTTTTCCATTGGATATTCTTTCCTGCTTTGTCAAAGATCAGTTGGCTGTATACTTTTGGGTCCACTTCTGAGTTCTCAATTCTGTTCCATTGGTCTATGTGTCTGTTTTTGTGCCAATACCATACTGTCTTGATGATGACAGCTTTGTAGTAGAGGCTAAAGTCTGGGATGGTGATGCCTCCCGTTTTGGTTTTATTTTTCAGTATTACTTTGGCTATTCGGGGTCTTTTGTGGTTCCATACAAGAGGGGTGGATACTTCTAAAGTCTGATTCTCAATTTTGTGGCCTCAGGAAGTCAATCTGGGCAATGATTGGGCTCTGAGGATCACCTGATTCACTTTAACCAAATTCAAAGAACATGATATTTAAACTGCAATGTGCCCTAATATACACTTACAGAAACACAACCATAAAATAGATCTCTGGTCACAGAGCCACGTGTTCTTTCCCTATAGGAAAACACACACAGAAAGCCACATTATAATGGGGTTGCTTGGTGAGCATGGATGCAGAGCAATTGGGTAATCTTAAGGGTAATATCACAGAAGACCCCTCTCTTCCACCAGGATAGACCAGCTGGATGGCAGGTGTCTGCCCCAGAACTCTCCCTTCTCTTAAATTTATGTTAATATCTTCCATTATTAAGTCCTGGCCTAACACCTAATTAGAGGAAATTTAATTCCTCAGATCTGATTCATTATGTTTGTTTTACATTTTCATTCTCACATACTATCTTATTTCTAGGTTTTAGAGATCTATCACATCATTGCCCCCAGGTTCCCACCCACATTTCTGATTATAACTAATGCAAAAACTGGTGATTTCAGATGTTAACCCATATTTCCTCAATCTAGCTTCTTACTAAGAACCTTTACAGGGAACAGTTGCAGGTGTCCCTTCTGGAACCTGGAAAGACACCAGAGAAATAGAAAAAGAGGGAGAGTATTGGACAAATATCAGTCCATTTCACTTGTCACAATTACCCTTCAAAATATACATTATTTCCATTTAATCTCTAGAGTGGGTAAGAACCTTTCCATTGGGGGAGTCAGTGAGCCAAGTCGTGACAGAGCCAAGAATGAACCCAGATCTGCCTCCAGTGTCTGTTGATGCTCTTCTCCACTTCACAGACTTGTAACTCTGCTTCCCATGGTTCTCCCACTTTGCCTTACCTCTTCAGGAATGTTTTCTGAGAATTAATGTTTCCAAAGCTAAAAGAGATCTCTTTCAGGCAAGATTAGAATTTGGGTAACTTTTCACTTACTTTTAGTATCCTGGTATCTGTGCTCTTAGTAATTGGTAAAAGTGAAAATGATAATTTACTTTCTTTCTAAAATTGTGGCAAGGATTAAACAAAGTATTTATATATATATATATATATATATATATATATATATATATATATATACTTGGAATGTAAGATCCTGTAAATTCTACCTATTGTTATTAAATTATGGGGGCAGTGTTTATTCCTAGGCATGTTGTCTAGAGTCATTTTTATTTAAACTTCAGGACTTCTCAAAGCCTTTGGTATTTTGAATCCTGACTTGACAGGTGAGAGGACAGTGGCTGGGGACAGTGGAGAAAAGGTTCCAAACTTATTAACCTCTGGTAGTTTCGTATAGACTGTCTTGGTGTTTCACAGGGTACTCTTTGAACTGTTTCATTGAATACTCTTTTCCTTGGTATCATTATCAATGGCTTTCTCTTACAACAAGATTCTTATTTAAAACATTTATTTGGTTTGGGGCACCTGGCTGGCTCAGTTGATAGAGCATGCAACTCTTGATCTCACGGTTATGAGTTTGAACCCCGTGTTGGGTATAGAGATTATTTAAAAATAAAATCTTTAAAAAGAAAAACACTTTTATTTGGTTTCAACTATTTCCCATTACTCTTGCATCAGGAAAGTAGGAAAGTTGTTACTATGTTCATTTTGCCTAATTAATGTAAAGAATTACAACGCTATTTCCAGTTTAGCTGTCCTGACAAGGCCACCTTCTCCCCTTTATACAGATTTGCACAGACTTATTTGTGGAAGAGGAGTTCCAGCCCTTGGACCCTACCCAGGAGCTCATATTTCCCCCAGAACTCTTGGTAAGATGAGTTGAGTGCTTTATGTGTTTGTTTAAATGTCACTGGTTATAAACTCAGTTTTATAAAACCACCCTTTCCTTCCTGTGAAGTTGTCAAACTATGGAAATATTTGATCATATCAAGAAGCTGTCCCCACCCAGCTCACCAACCCTCTCTAGCTAATACCCTTGACACACTCACTGAAGCCTCAGCTAAGGCTATTTTTTTTGAATGACTTCATCATTACTCTCATCATTGTCATCTGCAATAGGTCCTTGTTGACTGTCCCAAGCCATCCACCTTTGCTCAGCTTCTAACTTGGTCTTCCAGCCACTCCAGCACATTGATCCCAAAAGGAGTACTTCTAGCCCTCCCTATACCTTACCCTTCGTTCTGTCAGCATCTCTCTTTCCTCTCTGGCATCCAGTGGTCCCATTCTTTAAAATACCTATTTCTGAAGGGGTTCTGAAATAGGTGTTCATTCATTCATTCATTCATTCATTCAACAAACATCAATCATCCAACAACATGCCATGCACTGTTCTAGGTACTAGATAGACAGCAAGGAATGAAACTAACACAAAAACCTATCCTCAAGGAGTTGTAATCTGGTTGGTGATAATAAGCAAAGATAATATTACAGATAATAAGCAAAATAAGAAATACAATGTGTTAGCCAGTGAGAAGAGTTAAAAAGGAAAAAAAATGAAACAGAGAAGGGAGATAAGATACTAGCCAGAGAAGACTTTTCTGAAAAATTTTCAAAACTTTGAAAAAAGTTCTAATGGAAGTGAGGGAATAGCCTCAATGACATGTGGGGGGAAAGGCAGTCTGAGCAGTGTGCACACCAACTGCAAAGATGCCAAGGGTAGGAGAACACCTGCTACGGTCAAGGGACAGAGCAGGGTCCAGCCTGGCTGGAACACAGTGAATGAGGTCAGAAAGTCACTGGGAAGCGGACCGTAAGGACTTAGGCTGCCTGGATTTTACCCTATGAGGAATGAGAAATGATTAGGGAGGTTGGATGGGGGAGGGACAAGTTCCTATTAATGTTGTAATGGGATCTGGAATCATTCTGGCTGCTGGGATGGGAAGAGCCTGCTGAGGAACACAGGAACCAGCAGTGAGAGGGGGAGGGGCAGAGGGAGAATGAGAGAGAATCCCAAGCAGACTCCATGCTCAGCATGCAGTCTGATGGGAGTCCCATCCCATGACTGTATCACAACCTGAGACAAAATCAAGAGTCAGGCATTCAAATGACTGAGTCACCCAGGTGTCCCTTGGAAAAACAAAATGAAAAAGGATGAGATAAATTAAATGATTAAAAAAAAAAAAACTCAGGGCACCTGGGTGGCTCAGACAGTTGAGCATCAGACTCTTGATTTCGGCTCAGGTCATGATCCCAGGTTCATGGGATCGAGCCCCATGTCAGGCTCTGAGCTGACAACTTGAGCCTAATCAAAGTGCTAATGCCATCCTGAAAGATTCTGGTGCTAGACCAGGCTGCCGGCATGTAGGTGGTGAGAGAGAGTGGGTTCTGGATATACTTTGATGGAGAGCCAATGAGATTTGCTGCTGAATGTGATATGGCGTGTGGGAGAGAGACACTCTCTCTGGGGAGAGATTGACTCTGACACTTTGGGCAGCTGGAAAGGTGAGTGGCCATTTACAGAGAAGGGGAACACCTCAGGAAGAATAGGGTATTTTTTGGTGGGGGGTCTTTTGGGGGGGCTTCTAAATGAATGGGATATGAGGAGCTCATTTTGGGATATGTTAAATCTGAGATGCCTATTAGACATCTAAGAGGAGACATCAAGTTCTCATTCAGATATATGAGTTTGGATTTCAGAGGAAGAGTCCGGGTTGAAGATACTAATTTAGGAGCATTAGTATAATTATGATTTTTAAGGCCATGATATTAAATTATGTTCATTTAATCTGCACTAAAGTGTCATTGACAGGTACCAGTTTATATTAATTATCATTTGCCTGCAAAGAGCTATATATTGAAAATCTTAAGTTAAAGGAGTAAATATCTATGGAAATTCAGGCATTAGTCAGTGGGTATAGTGAGTATCTTCTCAGTCCAGTGGACCTCAGGACCCCTGAAATCTCTCTGGAGGAATATACCTCCACTGGGATCTCATATAAGCCAGGATGGCAGCTGCACACCTGTGCATACACATTTGTCATTTGCACTTAGAGAATGGCAAAGAACCCAGAAACACAAACCTTGGCCTTTCATGGAGAGAGGGTTACCTGGATCTCCCCTGGCACCCTTAAGGATCTCCTGGAGCTGAAAGCAAAACATCCTGAAGCCCCTCTCATCTTGGGCAACACTTCACTGGGTGAGTGATTACAGCATTTTTCCTCCCACCACCAAGCTGGACCTCCTGTCCCCTACTTTGCTCTCAGGCCACAAAACTACTTTTTAAGGTTAAAAGCCTCAACCTTCATAATAAAAATAGTATAATATAATAGTATATTATAAAATACACAGGATATACTATTATATATCATATGATACAATTATCTAATTATTTATATAATTTTGTGTATAAATAATATATGTAAACTATACATTTAATAATAGAGAAGGCACAATACAAATATCATATTATAATATAATAAAATGGTCTCCAAAGTTGGATATGCATATACCCTGGGAGATGCAGCATGACCCCTTGCGGTGTGGGGAAAAAATATTAGAGGGATTTTGGGTTTTTAAGGGTTGTTTTGTTTTATTTTGTTTTTGAGAGAGGGAGAAGGCACATGAGCCAGGGAGAGGGGCAGAGGGAGAGAGAAAGAGAGAGAGAAACTTATGCAGGCTCCATGCTTAGCACAGAGCCTGATCCGGGGCTCCATCCCATGACCCTGGGATCATGACCCCAGGTGAAATCAAGAATCAGACACTCAGTCTACTTGAGACACCCAGACACCCTGAGGGTTTTTTTTTAATCATTTAATTTATCTTGTCCTTTTTTATTTTGTTTTTGTTAAATATTGAGTACATATAATGGAAGTCAGTAAAATATGTATGGGTACATTAACAGTGCACACCCAGTTATCACCTACACCCAGTTTAAGAATGAGCACTTTATAAGAACTTTGAAGGCCCAGGGAACCCTCCCAGACCACATCCCTTTCCCTTACCTTCCCTTTCTCTCAGAAGCACTCATTAGTCTGAATGTGATGGTGGTCAGTCACTTTCTTGTTTTTACAATTTTACCACATGTATTTGAGTCTTTAAACAATATGTCATTTACTTTAGCATATGTTTGAATTTCACATAAATAGGGTGACATAATATTATTCTTTAATTTGCTTTGTTTGTTCAACATTCTTGACCTGAGATACACTCATCATGTTGCAAGAAACTGCTACAGTCCATTGTATGATTATGTACAATTTGCTGATCCATTCTACTACTGAAGAACAGAGTGCTTTCCAAGTTTTGCCTATTATGAATATTCTTTTTTAATTTTAATTCCTGTAAAGTCAATATACACTGTTATATTAGTTTCAGGTGTACAATATAGTGATTCAGCAATTCTGTACATTACTTAGTGCTCATCCTGATAAGGTACTCTTTAATCCCTTTCACCAATTACACCCATCTCTCCCACCCACCTCCCCTCTGATAACCATCAGCTTGCTCTCTATAGTTAAGAGTCTGTTTCTTGGTTTGCTCTCTCTTTTATTTTCCTTTGCTCATTTGTTGTTGTTGTTCTTAAATTCCACATATGAATGAAATCTTATGGTATTTGTCTTTCTCTGACTTATTTTGCTCAGTATAATACTGTCTAGCTACATCCATGTCATTGAAAATGGCAAGATTTCATTCTTTTTTATGGCTGTGTAATATTCCAGTGTTCATGTGTGTACGTGTATGTGTTCATGTGTGTCTCTGTATCACGTCTTCTTTATCCATTCAGTAATCACTGGACACTTGGGCTGTTTCTGTAATTTGGGTATTGTAGATAATGCTGCAATAAACAGGGGTGCATGTATTCCTTTGAATTAGTGTATTTGGGAGGTAAATATCCAGTAGTATGATTACTGGATCATAAGAGAATTCTATTTTTAGCTTTTGAGGAAGCCGCATACTGTTTTCCCCAGTGGATGCACCTATTTTCATTCCCACCAACAGTGCACAAGGATTCCTTTTTCTACATATCCTCATCATACTTACTATTTCTTGTGTTGTTAATTTCAGCCATTCTGACAGGTGTGAGTTGGTATCTCACTGTAGTTTTGATTTACATTACCTTCATGATGAGTTACGTTGAGCATCTTTCTGTGTGTCTATTGGCCATCTATGTGTCTTCTTTGGAGAAATGTCTGTTCATGTCTTCTGCCCATTTTTAATTTGGATTATTTGGATTTTGGCTATTGAGTTGTATAGTTCTTTATTTTGGATAATAACAGTTTACTAGATAAATCATTTGTGAATATCTTCTTCCATCCAATAGGTTGCCTTTTAGTTTTGTTGATTGTTTCTTTTGCTATGCAGAAGCTTTTTTTTTCTTTTTTTTTTTTTTTAATATTTTTTTTTATTTCTAGGAGAGAGAGATCATGACCTAAGCGAAAGTCGGACGCTTAACCGACTAAGCCACCCAGACGCCCCTTTTTCATTTTTTAAAGAACAGTTTATTGTCAAGTTGGTTTCCATATAACACCCAGTGCTCATCCCCACAAGTGCCCTCCTCCATGCCCATCACCCCCCTTCCACTCCCCCTCCAGCCCCATCAGTCCTCAGTTTGTTCTCAGCATTCAAGAGTCTCTCATGGTTTACCTCCCTCCCTCCCCCACTATTTTTCCCCTTCTTCTCCCCAACGGTCCTCCATTCAGTTCCTCCTAATCCTCCTATATGTGCAAACATATGGTAGCTGTCCTTCTCTGCCTGACTTATTTCGCTCAGCATAACACCCTCGAGCTCCATCCATGTTACTACACATGGCCAGATTTCATTCTTTCTCATTGCCATGTAGTATTCCATGGTATAGATAAACCACATCTTCTTGATCCATTTGTCAGTAGATGGACACTTTCTTTCCATGTTTTGGTGATTGTTGAAAGTGCTGCTATGAACATTGGGGTACATGTGCCCCTATGCATCAGCACTCCTGTATCCCTTGGGTAAATTCCTAGCAGTGCCATTGCTGGCTCATAGGGGAATTTGAGCCAAAAAATTGTTAATTTTTTGAGGAACCTCCACACTGTTTTCCAGAGGGCCTGCACCAGTTTACACTCCCACCAACAGTGTAGGAGGGTGCCCATTTCTCCACATCCTCGCCAGCATCTAGAGTTCTCTGATTTGCTCATTTTAGCCACTCTGACTGGCGTGAGGTGGTATCTCAGTGTGGTTTTGATTTGTATTTCCCTGATGAGGAGGGATGCTGAGCATCGTTTCATGGGTCTGTTGGCCATCTGGATGTCCTCTTTGGAGAAGTGTCTGTTCATGTCTTCTGCCCATTTCTTCACTGGGTTGTTTGTTTTTCGGGTGTGGAGTTTGATGAGTTCCTTATAGATTTTGGATACTAGCCCTTTATCTGACATGTCATTTGCATCTATCTTTTCCCATTCTGTCGGTTGCCAATTCGTTTTATGGACTGTTTCCTTTGCCATGCAGAAGCTTTTTATCTTGATGAGCTCCCAATCGTTTATTTTTGCTCTTGATTCCCTTGCCTTTGGGGATATGTCAAGTAAGAAATCGCTGCGTTTGAGGTCAAGGAGCTTGTTTCCTGCTTTCTCCTCTAGGGTTTTGATGGTTTCCTGTCTCACGTTCAGGTCCTTTATCCATTTTGAGTTGATTTTTGTGTATGGTGTGAGAAAATGATCTAGTTTCATTCTTCTGCATGTTGCTGTCCAGTTCTCCCAGCACCATGTGTTAAAGAGGCTGTCTTTTTTCCATTGGATCCTCTTTCCTGTTTTGTCAAAGATTAGTTGGCTGTACATTTTGGGGTCCAATTCTGAGTTCTCTATTCGATTCCATTGGTCTATGTGTCTGTTTTTGTACCAATACCATACCGTCTTGATGATGACAGCTTTGTAGTAGAGGCTAACGTCTGGGATGGTGATGCCTTCCATTTTGGTTTTCTTCTTCTATATTACTTTGGCTATTCGGTATCTTTTGTGGTTCCATACAAATTTTAGGATAGTTTGTTCTAGTTTTGAGAAGAATGCTGGTGCAATTTTGATTGGGATTGCATTGAATGTGCAGATTATTTTGGGTAGTAATGATATTTTAACTATATTTATTCTTCCAATCCATGAGCATGGAATGTTTTTCCATTTCTTTGTGTCTTCTTCAATTTCCTTCATAAATTTTCTATAGTTTTCATCATACAGATCTCTTATATCTTTGACTAGGTTTATTCCTAGGTACTTTATGGTTTTTTGTGCAATTGTGAATGGGATCAGTTTCTTGATTTCTCTTTCTGTTGCTTCATTGTTGGTGTATAAAACATACAACCGATTTCTGTCCGTTGATTTTGTACCCTACAACTTTGCTGAATTCATGGATCAGTCCTTGTAGGCTGCTGGTGGAGTCTGTCAGGTTTTCTACATAGAGTATCATGTCATCTGCGAAAAGTGAAAGTTTGATTTCTTTTTTGCCAATTCTGATGCCTTTTTATTTCCTTTTGTTGTCTGGTTGCTGATGCTAGGACTTCCAGCACTATGTTAAACAACAGTGATGAGAGTGGACATCCCTGTCATGTTCTTGATCTCAGGGGGAAAGCTCCCAGTTTTTCCCCATTGAGGATGATGTTAGCTGAGGGCTTCTCATAGATGGCTTTTATGATGTTTAAGTAAGTTCCTTCTATCCCGACTTTCTTGAAGGTCTTTATTAAAAAGTGATGCTGTATTTTGTGAAATGCTTCTTCTGCATCTATCGACAAGATCATATGGCTTTTATGTTTTCTTTTGTTAATGTGATGTATCACATTGATTGATTTGCGAATATTGAACCAGCCCTGTAATCCAGGAATGAATCCCACTTGATCTTGGTGGATAATTCTTTTTATGTGCTGTTGCATTCGATTTGCAAGGATCTTCTTGAGGATTTTTGCATCTGTATTCATCAAGGATATTGGCCTGTAGTTTTCTTTTTTCCCTGGGTCTCTATCTGGGTTGGGAATTAAAGTGATGCTGGCTTCATAAAATGAGTCTGGAAGTTTTCCTTCTCTTTCTATTTTCGAAATAGCTTGAGAAGAATGGGTATTAATTCTGTTTTAAATGTAGGGTAGAATTCCCCAGGGAAGCTATCTGGCCCAGGGCTCTTATTTGTTGGGAGATTTTTGATAACTGATTCGATTTCCTCACTCGTTACGGGTTTGTTCAGGTT